ATCTGCCCAAGAGCCAAACAATTCTTGTGCTTGGAATTAACTCTGTATAAAACATAGTGTCAGTGCTAATGTGTCAACAAGCCTTTCTGTCGTATTTCCAGTGGGTATATTGCCTGCCCTTATTGGTAGTTTAGTGCTCACAGAGTCTTTAATCCTATATTAACTTACTGGGGAAATAGGACCAAGGTATGCTGTTGTCCTGATTCAGCTCCCTTTTAACAATCTTAAATATAATCTTCATGAGACTTCATTAGTCAGGAAGCTCTAAGTCACTCTGCACCATAAGTAATGAAGAAACCTATTATAATGGACTGCATAAATAAGCCATGATTTCTGGCTTAACATGGATCATCATGATGTCAGTTAATTCAATTATAGTAATTTTATGAGCAATACCAATTACAATATATTTAATCTTGATTAGTAGCTATTACCACCAAAATACTTCAGATAAAATTATACGCAGTGCTAATACTTTGTGGCTTATGTCCAAAAAAGATCATTTAACACTTAGCTAATGAACTAGAATTAACATTCAATTTGTGAATAGCACTGCAGAAGAAGCATTAGAAATCTTTCTAGCCTTGTTCTTAAATCACTGTCAGAAAGTTCAATAACAGTGAATTAATCAGCAAATAATTAAGTCCTTGTAATTATTTCTGCCCATGAATTATCTGCCAACAAGATCTGTGTTGCTTTACAAAATTGATTGTTATTGTCAGTTGTGTGACACTTTGTATGGAGAATTTTGGGACTCTGGCCTATTTGCAAACTACTTACTATGACTACTTGCTATTCATGTCTTATATCACTGGACTCATGTGGCACTGTACTTTTTTTTTAGAAGGGTTGGTGAATGCTTTATGACTCCTTCAGTTTATTAAACCTATTCATGGGCATTTATAAATGTTTGGCAAATCTTGCTTGAATACTATATTTTATCACATACAACACAGCCCCAAATAAAACATGCACCTTGTTTTTGGAAAACAAAACGTAGAAAAAAAGGCTTTTTCAGAGTCATGGCTGACAGCATGGCCACCCTCTACCGTGGCTGTAGAGAAAGTCCTCCTAGAAACATAGCATGTCCAAAAGTATGGCATCAGGAACTCCCAGTGTGGCTGTCTCCTGACAGCATGGAGTTCCCCACTGTCTGGAAGACACACACACACCCTAACTAGGGAGTTGGGGGTTGGGAAAAGTGGCAACAATGCAGGTGCAGCTTCCAGGGGACTAGCCTCAGTGCGGGCAGAGGGAAAGTTCCTTGGTGCTATTGTTCTGGCCTGTGGCTTGAAAACCTTGCCAGCCCCTACACCCAGTTTCATGCAGCCCTGCAATGGGCCCCTGCTGCAACTGCGGGGAGCTCCAGCCCCCTCCAGGTGCTAGCCCAGGGGCTGGCAGGGAGCTGGGGACATGGGGCTTGGAAAGAGCTCCCTAACCCTCTCCAGCACGGAGCTTTGTGACCATGGGGACACTGCTGGGAGACCCTTATCTCCAAGCCCCCAGTTCTGCCATCACAACTGGGGAGGTAGGGACTGGGAGGCCCTTATTTTCCAGCCCAAGCTCCATGGTTGTGGCTGCAGGGCTCAACCTGAGAGACCCTTATCTCCCAGCCTCTCAATTGCAATGACGGAGCAGGGGCTTGGAGAGCTGGGAGATAAGGATCTCCCAGCCCCAGCTCCCTGATTGTGATCTAGGAACAGTGGGGTTGGAGCTCCCTGCTGCTGGGGCAGGGGGACATAGTCCCCACTTGGGCTCCTGTGGCAAAGGCTGCCCTGGCAGCAGGCAGCATTCAGGGGCAGGGAGTTATCTCCTGCCCCCTGATGGACTGCTGACTGGGAGCAGATTTTGCTCCCAGTCCAGTGTTTACATGAGTGCTATGGCATTGTTACTCATCCTGGGTAGATTTGCTACTTGCATCTGCAGGTAGCAAATTTATTCAGGATTAGGGAGGTTTACTGAGAAGTAAGCATGTGCACCTGTAGACACACATGCTTACTTCACAGTAAATTATGCAAATACAAAGTTAAGCATCCCGTGTAGATGTGCTCAAGGTGTCATTACCATATCAGAACAGATCACGTGCTGTTTCAGGCACAAGCTAAGGCTGTGAAGGTTAACGCAAGACTCTACCTCTTCAGTTTGCTGAACAGACAGAAGCAGTCGCTGCCTTAGCAGCACCAGGGCATGCACAGTGTCTCCAGGAATGCGTTTTTTCCAGTGAAGAAAACAGCTTCTTTGCTTAAAACACATTCCCCCTGACTTTTGGGAGAAGAGATGTGTGCTGTATGTAAGAAAATACAATAATAAAATGCAGTTATCTACCAGCATCACTAGTGTAGTATATGTGTTGTGCCCAGTTTCTGTATCTGGATTAACAAGTAGAGGGGTGGCATTTAAGTAATTCTGAGTTTCTCAGCATTACATCAAAACCTCCTGCACACTCCAAACAATAGCATAATATTTTATCAATGATCATTATTAAACCACATTATATCTTTCATAGTGTGGGTTATTAAAGGATCTATATCTCTTTTCACAGTCTTTTGGAATTGCTCTGGTTCTTTTAGCTCTGAAGTGAGGACCACTGAAAAGGTCCCAAAAAAACATAGTTAGCTGTCTTAGTCTGAAGTGAAGTAGAAGGCAGGGTAGATATGTGCCTTATAGAATAAGCAAAGTAGGTATATATCAAGCACAAGCTGCATCTATCTATCTAGATATACATATATAGATATCTATATCTATATCTATTTTGGTTTGTCTATAAGGTACAAATCTATCATGCTTTTTAAAGGTCCCAAAGTTGAGGTAGGTGGATCCAGTCTCAAAATGTGGGATGTAATGAGACTTCTTACCTCCCTGATATTTCTGGTTTCCAACTGCTAAACCTTCAAACTGTGGTAAGCAACCTACACCACAAGTATGACCATATGTGTGAACTGAGCCAGGAATCAATGATGCTAATAATTACCATGGCGCTAATGATTACCTTGAATTCTTGAAGTGATTCTAATGATTTATCATTCATGTGGCTTATGAAGACATTGACCATTGCTATGCTCTGTAGCAGGCAAACACAGCAAAACTAGTCCCAATTTAAACATGACCTGGGATTCCCAAAAAGGATGAACATATTGGGCCAATGTCTGCTGCCTCTCAACAACCAGCTCTTAGCCATAGATCTGCTTTGAATTGCACTGCCAAAACCAGCCCTCACTGAATCTTTCTAGTAAATCACTAGACACCAGCCAAAACGCAATCAGACTCCCCATCTTCAACCATGACCCTTATGCTAGGACATCAGCTACTTAGACATTGCCATCCAGGGGATCCCAGGTGAATCCTCAGGCAGCTGTCTGAGCCAGTTTCAAAACTGCATGGTGCCTCTGGATGTGCACACATACAATACTGTGAATGTGATCACTTCACTACAAAGGGGCAATGCATTTTCATAGGATTTTCAGAACAAACTGACAGAACAAGCAGAACTCATTGCATAGATATGAAGCATGTGTAGAGCATACTACAGACATAGCGAGGCTGGGTGCACAATTTCAGATGGGCTAGGAAAGGAGAGTAAATGTGTGTGTGTTTCAATTCTGAGTAAGACAGCAGGAGGAAGATAGAGAGTGGGGTTTCAGACTTTCATTATCACTTGCAATCATGAATGCTGAGAAATAGGAGAAACAGGAAAACAAATGGCATGCAATGTCTGTGAGGAGCCTATTGAAATTCAGAATTTCCATTTTGTATGAAATATCAACATTGTGAAATTTGTTTTCATTCCAATTTTGAATAGAAACAAATATTTTTCTGTGCATTAGAGAAATTTTATTAAGAGCCGCATCCACTTAATACTAATCAAAACATCTTATCTTCTTTGCTACATCAAAAGGCATCTTAATGTTGTTGTAATGTTTGATGCTTTGTAACACCAAAAACAGAGATAAACTGATCTAGAAAAGATGTTTCAATAAGTATTATACAGCACTGCCTTTAATGGGTTTTAAAACAAATAAAAATAGAATATTTTAATTCTGTCCTATATTTGGTATGCCAGTCATTATACTGCATAATACTTATACTATTTTAAAATTATTTCATAACGTGGTCAGTAGTAGTAGTAGTATACAACATATGTTTTTACTGACACAAAAAATAATAACACTTAAAAAAATGATCTCCCTCCCCCATAATATAGCATTTTGAAATGAAATTCTGGTATATCCAAAATAAAAAATAATATAAACTGATTTTTCTTTAATTCAAAACATTAATTTTGTTGAGACTTTCATTGAAATTGCCATTTTTGTAAAAACATTTTGGTTTCAACACAATCAACATTTTAGCTGGAAAAAAATGGCTAAAGGCTTCTAATTTATGTGTGATTGAGGACGTATTAGAACACAGGAAAAGGTGCTATGGATTCACAGAGGGCCAAATCCTGAGTCTCTTATGTAGGTATGACCCTGATGGAAAGTGTAGGCACTATACTTAATGTAGTCTGTGCATATAGCTTAGAATGGAATACATACCAAATTTCTTAAGGAGAAATTTTTTCTTTCTTCTCCAGTATCATTCTGAAAGAAAGACCTGTGTATAGGGCGTGTATATATCACTTCTTAGCAAAATTAGTATGCTTGGCATAGTGGAGCACTGGATTCCCTTCCCGAGTTGCACCACCTCCTAAACATAATGGAGCAGCAGTCATTTGCGTGCAATGGATACCTGTACGTACAAAGCAGTGCACATACTGTAACAAGGGATGGGCAAATGGGGCATCAGCCGTGGGTGCTGATGTAGAGGGGCTGAAGCCACCACTGTCCCAGACACTGCTGCTACGAAAACTGCTTGTTAGGCCTTTGTACTGTAGTATTATAAAGTGTGGTATAGTGCCTGCTGCACTTTTTCCCAAGTAAAGTGCACACAAATCCAAACAACAGAGTAGAACTTTTTTTTGTTGGTTTGTTTTCTTTATGAATCAAGTCCCTGAAAAGGCATTCTTTTTCATAAATTACTTTTACTCTTTTTATCATGTCCTTTGACAATAATTCTTGGTGAATATGCAAACAACAACAAGGCAAGCTGAATATTCACTCAGACTTAATCAAATAGATCATCATATAGTCTTCATTTTAACCATTAAAATATTTTCATTATAAAAATTAATCTAAATATAAATATTAACACTAAAGATTGAAATCACTGGATGACAAAATAATTCTTTGTGTGCTATAACATATGCTTTTATGATTTTTGTTTTTTAAAACAGTAAATTAAACCTTTGCACATATTTGGCACAAGTAAACCTTTGTAAAAATTCAAATGCCATATAGCAGGGTTTTGTGTTTGTTTGTTTTTTTTGCAATGCCTACACAGTACACATTTTGTGTTAAAGAAGACTGAATATTTTAACATTGTAACACAACAGTAGTTGCTTTTCATGCCTCTTATGGAAAACATCTTATTCCAAACTCTGTTTGTTTGTTTTTTTAAATCACACTAACAGAACAGAAGCCAGAGTTAATCTATTAAAATTAGTCATTTCTGAATTGATATTACATATACGATATTAGCTAATAGTATTCTTAGATGAATATGTTAGACCAACCACCATTAGTAACGTTTCATAGCACACATTCCGGTATAAACAAAAATCTGGGAATGTATAGTACATAGATAGGAGAACAGTTGAGGGGAGAGAAATCGAAAGATGAAGAATACTTTAGGTGTCCTGTGCTTTTTAATCTCCTCCACTGCCTGGTACATACAGTTTACCCTTAGTGGATTAAGTACGATGCCCATACCTGTGTGAACCAATTGGAAAGAATTAGCATTGCCTGGGACGAGGGGCAGGCCTCATTTGGCCCAGAATAAACATCGTGAGCCAGCTCGTCAGCTGGTATAGGTCCACTAAAGCTAATGGAACTATGCTGACTTACACCAGCTGGGGAAATGACGTCATACTTCCGGATGAGCCAAATGTTTTCAAAGGTGATGCTCTAACTGCACTGGTGGACAAACTACACATATAGGAAGAAAGTTTGTAACTGGAATCATTTACCTTTCCCAGGGCTGAATGAGCTTGGGAGACTGGGAACTGCACCATGACTAGTCCTCATTTCATACGCTCTTTGTTTTTTTTCTCTTCTATTTAGCATCAAATCTGACTGGTGGCATCCAGTTACACCTGATTAATTCCAGGTTTTGTTCATCTCTCCAGCCCACAACCCAAAACTGTCAATGTGGCTGCCCAAAGTTTAGACACATAAAGAAAAATGGCTTAATTTTCAGAAGTGCTGAACATCCCTAGTGCTTAAGGAAGCTGATGGGAACTGCAGGGACTCACTGCTTCTGAAAACCAGGCTACTCTTCTGTCTTGAAGCATCTGAAAATCCTGGCCCAAATGTTTGGCATCAGCCATGAAGTGTTCAACATTGTAGACCCTTAAATCACTGCACAGTCCAAAATTTATTTCCATATGCACATGGTTAATTGCTCCTTCGGGCTCCACAATGCCTGTTACATACTAAGCTTGGCAAAGGACAGAAATGTATTGTCCCAGGTGGAGCTGTAAGAGGTGCTCTCCCTCCCAGAACTCCTTGGTACAGAGGTGAAGGACATCTCAAGCTGCACTTCCTCCTGGGGTGAAGTTTATCACCGTTGCACTCACTGATCCTGCTCTGCAGTCGGCATGGAGTCATAAACCCATTGCCTCCCTACATCCTTCAGGACACAAGGACTGGCACCGGCAGTCATGATGTTCTCCAAAGCAAAAGGACCGACATTCTGAAAGGGCCTTCCATGCAATATGCAAGGGAGGTGAAAGGTTCCTTAGGTCTCATTCTCCCTGCCATGGATCTGAGGACCTTTCATAATCACTCTCTTGGTTTTTAAAAATACATTTCAGGAAGCACTTTCTGGAAACTGTTCCTAATTCCTAGCTTTATTTTACTCTACTTTTGTACTGTTAAAGAACTGGCAGGGCTCAGTGCTGAGCTATGCCAACCGTATCATAACAAATACTTGGGATGCTTCCAAACAGGGGCAACTCCAAGCAGTATAATAGATGCAGAGGTGTTGATTTTGCAAGTTTTCAGATGCATTGAGATGACAGAACAACGATCCCCACACATTTAGTCTTAGATACACTGCATGCATGTTACCTACTATGGTGTCATGGTGAAACATGGCAGCCCATCACCACTGTAAACTGCTCTCTCAACAGGAAAAGCACACAGATCTGGAGTTAGAACAATAACTCAGACAAAGGTGCGCTCTCAGCATATAGGGACTCTTCAGACATTGAAGCTGATCCTGGAAACATTTGACTTGATGTTATAGCTCCCTTTGAGCTCGGGGGAGCAGAATCAGGTACACCAATTTCCCCCCCACCTCCAAGCTTCTACAAAACAAATGTTCACTACACTGCATGTGGAATTTTTCTTATTGCTCAACAAGAGAGATATCTATGTGAACAATAAGAGGCCAGCAGAGAAGAATCACAGGTTTGCTTTGTCCTTTCCTTTCATGTGAAATATTGACCAACAATTACAGTTGAATTAAGTGTACAAAAACATACTGGATTTTTAAAGACAATATACTTCAGTACAATTGATGGGGGGAGAGAGGGGGAGGAGTGCATCTTAAAATGTGGAGCCTTGCTTTTGAAACTCAGTATCCTTTCTCCAGTCTTATGAGAACTTTAAGGCAGAGTTTCCATTAGCAGACCACAATGCTGAAGACTTGGACAGCTTTCTCAGTGAGGTATCCAAACAAAGCCCTATTACTGAGGCATTGTGGGTTCTCAAGGGTCCATTTTCTATTGGACATATACAATGGCTGTTAGGTAAAGGCACTCAAGTGTACAGCCTTAGGCAGTGTGTTATTGGCAGTAGAGTTTGTAATTCTAGTACATAACAACAGCTCCTATAGTTGGTTTCTAGAATGCAGAGAAAAAAGACAAGTTTAGCAAAATATTTAGTTACAAAATAGGTATAGAATACAATCCTAATAAGTCTTCTTAAGCAAAACACTGCTGTGTTGCCAGTTTAGTAGCTTATCATATTTCCCAATTAAAATTCACCCTATGCAGCACAGAGGGCTGTACACCTCACAAGTCCCACCCTCCTAATTGCAGAGAGGAGTTGACACGGTTCGGGTGGCAGTCCTCAGATATGATTTCTGGGGTTTTGCCATTAGCTTTCAAGTTAATGGCAAACTCTCATCAACTTTAGTGGGGGCAAATCTCACCTAAGGTAGCAGGGGATAGGATGTTTTAGGAGTGTTCACACACTCATCTGAACATATTTTAAGTTGGTAATTTCTCTACCACTTCAGTGGCCAAGGCATTAGTAGCCCTTTTGCCATCCTGCTCCTTACCTGAGGCATGCTGTGGGGTGTTTATAGTTTGTTTTGTGAATGTAGAATGGAAGAGGGACCAGTATGGAAGTTCTTGGCCTTATGGACAAATGGTGGCCTGCAAATATAGGGGACAGGTGCTGATGGCTCATGGGCATGTTTCTAGTCCTACTGTCGAATAACAGAAGTATCTCCTGCTCTATGAAACTGTGGCACTGCGATGGCCAGGATCTGAATTAGCAGCCTGGTGTGATGGGAATTCGCCTGTTGATTCTATTTTGGAAGAATTATAAAAAGAAGGCACCGTTTGCAATTCTGTAAACGCACCTGGAAATTGTGCATGTTCATACATGAATATGGATAAACTGTGGACTGGGAGAACCACTAACAGGAATTCTTCAAAGGACCACAACTCTCTTTTCTCTCCTCACTTGCTCAGATGCAGTTAGCTGTCCTCCATGCTCCTGACCCACTATAATAGCTGGCAAGTGTGGAGGGTTGAGCTGTCTCTTTCCACTTCCCACTCAGTAACTTTTTGAGGAGAGGATCAATCCAGCAGCACTTACTAATCTTCCATAACTAACACACCTGGAGCTGAAATCCAAATATCTCTTCCGGCTGGCAGTCAGGGGACCCCTAGGCCTAACCGCACACTCAGAGCACCTTTGCAGTGGCAGAACCCTTCTCTGGTGAATGGAGGAAGGCTTCTGTCACCATCCAGCAGCTGGCAGAAGGCACCTCCAGATACTCCTCTGCTTTCTGTCAGCTGCTGCAGTCCCTACAGCAGCTGATGCCTTCATAGCCCTGGTAGTGGTGTGTGAACATGCAGCACTCTGGTGGCTGGGCAGGGGTAGCTACTGTCTGCCCCCAGAAGCTCTCCTGGGAGAGGCAGGCGAGTATAGCCAAGGCCTCATTCTTTGCACAGTGAGAATGAGCTAAGTATGTTGTGCTTAGTGTTCCTTATTACAACTTTAAAAAAGCCTATTCTTAGTCATTACCATTGGGTCCTTGGCAGTGCTTTTTCTCTCTTTAGTTCTTTGTGTTAGAGATCCTCGGAGCATGAAGTTTCTGTTAAATGTTCTAGTAGTAGTAGTAGTAGTATTAGTAGTAGTAGTAGTAACTGGAGTCTCATCAGTTTTTTCACCTGGGGAGAAAGAAGTGGGAACATTCCTCAAGCCATGGCTGGAACCAAACACAACAACAAACATGAGGAAACATATCTTTTAGGTCATTAGAGGCTTAAACCTAAGTCAGGAGGAATGTTATACTTTAAAAAAAAACAAAGTAAAGAGATTAATTTCAAATGGAAATATAGTAGGCACTGAACTTGTAAGAGAAGTTTTCAAAATTATGATACAGCCTGCCTGACCCCCATGTTACTTCAGCTTGACTCTGCTTCAATCAATGGAGTTATACGGGTATAAAATTAGAGGGAGGCTGGGAGAATCAGGCTCAAACCTTTGGAAAGAAGGATGGAAGCATCTAAACCTCAATTTAGGAAGATTTTAGACAGCCAAATCTAAAACTGTGATCTAGTGGCCACCTGAACTTGCTAGGTGCCTATCTTTTAGACCTGAAAATTCTCCAAGGTCCTGCAACTCTGTCTGATGGGCACATCTTAAATCTCTTTGTTTGAGGAGCTAGATGCCTACCTCCTACCTGCACTCTAGAACTGGATCCAGAAATGGGCAGAACAGTAACTATGTCCTCTGGAAGGCTCCATCAAGTATTACGTTTAGCACACATAGTTATAGCCACTTTCATTTAAAAATGTAATAGTGCCCATGGCCATTGTTCCAGTGGCCTTATTATACAACTGCTAGTGGCTAAAGCACCAACACAGGAAAAGGAAAACCTAGGTGTAGATCCTTAGCCTGAAGCCATGTAAACCCACAGTTCTCACAACTAAGATAAGTCTCTAACTGCCAAGCTAAAGTTTCATCCCTCCTCTTTTTTTCATTCAATGACTATTCAATGCAGCATGCATAAATATGGAGCAAAGACTGTAACTCAGGACTCACCCCCTCCCCCTTCCCGTTCCAGCCTAGTGTCCTAAACACAGGGCTAAGTCATCTCCCATTTGCTTGTTTTCCTTCATGCCCCATGGATCTTGAATTCTTACCTGTACAATCAACATCTAAGGTACTTTGGTGTTGCAGAGCCTAAAATTTAGGGCACCTTGCCTCAGACTGGTGGCCCAAGTCCACAGGTTAGCACTTGTGTCTTTTCTCCAGGGAATGGAGAGACCCACAGGTGCTTCCCTACTAAGGAGCTCTTAAGTACTGGGTGGAAAACAAGTGAAAAATTGGATACAAGGGTATGTCTGAACTCCAGCTCCAACTTTGAGCTTGTTTCTGCCTTGGCAAAGGAAGTGCGTGCATCATACTGATATCCAGATAACTCACAGAGGAGGCACCTACCTCTGTGACCCTCACTGACAGTAGCATTGAGTTCAATATAAAGCACAGCACTTTCCATTCACTCTTGAACACTGGTGATGATACCCATATTTTGCACAGACTCTTATTTTGTGAAAACTATTTTAATTATATACGAAATTACCAAGTAATGTCTCTTAGCCAAAAGATTTAGAGGTTTTCAACAGACGTGTTTCTTAAGATGATGATCTGAGGGTGGGGTGAAAGCATGATACTTGGACAAACATAAATCAAAGGAAGTTAGACATGTTAGCTGGAGACACTCTTTTTGGGTCTAAGATTCTTTAAAGCCTTAGGCCTCAATTTGGAAACATACTTAAACAATACATGCTTAAAGTTAAGCTCATACTTAAGTGTTTTACTAAATAGTACTTTACTGGATCAAGGCTTTAATTAGGTCTTCCCACATAGTCAAATGAAATGCACTGACTTTCCAGAAAAGTGACAGTTATTTACAACTCAGCGGTATTGAAGTTATGCTATAGACATGATGGTCCAGGATATATGCAAGATGCAAGGATTTTTGTGGGTGATATATTTTATTGCACCAATAGTATGGTTGGGATAGACTTAAACAACCTTCCAGGTACCACAGGACCTTTCCTTAGGCCTCTTCTCTCCCAAAATGCTCTCCCAGAGATCTGAGGAAGAGTACCACAGTAGCCAAAAGCTTTCCATCACAACTATGCAGTTGGTCCAATACAAGACATCACCTACAAAAAAAAAAAATCCCTGTCTCACGGCTAATTAGCACATCATTGCCAAATCTTTCATCTCCTATAAAATACCTTTTAATGTTTTACCCCACCCTCTTTCTTTGGGGTCGGGTCAAACTTTTAAAATTTCTTTTATGCTTTGGTTATGGTTCTTTTTTTGCTCCTAGTAAAGTAAAACAATAAAAAGTTAACTTAAAAAACAAGCAACAGCACATTATGAAGAGACAGACCAGTATAGTATTCAATATAAATATAGCCTGGGAGGGAATTATTTATTCTTATTTTATTCACCTCACAACTTATTTCCCTCCTGTTTGTCAGCTGCACAGCATCATTTAACCAGAAAGAGAACATATGTGAAATGAGTTTACTGAAACTTTTAGTGCACCTTTTACTGGTGGAGCTGGAAGCTTTCTCCTTTGCTGTCTTGATGTGTCTATTGTGTGCATCTGTGGAGAACATATACATATTATTAAAATTTAATATGGAAAAAAGGGCTTCCCGATATATTTGTCAATATTGCTCAATGCTCTGGTACCTGGTTCATTTGTTTTTGCTCCCGTTTTCTTGCCAGGCGAACACATGGTGCCACATTCAGTCCTGCACAAGTGAGTGCTGAAATTCTGCTTTCAATATCTGAAATCTTAAAGTAAAACAAGAGAAAGAGAGAGAGAGTTGGGGGGAGAAAAAGAAATCTCAAAGTTAATATAAAAACACAACAAAAATGCACTTTCCCAACACGTTCATACCCTCACCAAATAAAAATATAAAAGGAACAGCTCATTTTTTTAGTAATTCTGAAAGACAATCTAGCAAAGACACTTTGGAGTGTGGTATCCTTTGGTTCCCAAAGGGGACCCTTGTTCAATAGAAAAAAAAATTATTGATTAAATCATTGAAAAGAATGATCTGGTGGCATTGCACTGACATACTGCAGGACTATAAACTGAAGCTTTGTGTTGTGCTGTGTTTGAGAAACAGCTGGTAGCCAATGACTCGAATCCTAATTTCATTCAAGTTGCATTAGAGAAAGTTAGGCTCAAAGCACAGACCAGGGGTAGGCAACCCCCAGCACATATACCAGTGTGGCATGAGAAGGCATTTTGCTTGGCACATGTGCCTTGGGGTGGATGGCAGGGGAGCTATGAGGAACCCATCTTTGTTTTGGCAGTGAAGCCCCAACCCCTCCCCCTCCATCCACCTTGAAGCATGCATGCACCTGTCACTGGCAATAAGTTGGGTTGGGGCTTTGCAGACCCCAGTGCACCTGCTTGCAGCCTCCCTGCTATGAGCAGCCAAGGCTTTGTGGTGGGCAGGAAGGCCTGCCCAGAGCCTTGGCTGGATGTGGCAGACAGCCAGGACACTACAAGAGGCTGCACTGGGGTCTGTAGAGCCCCAGTCTGGCTCACTGCTGGCAGCAGGTTCATGTACGCCTTGGGGTGGAAGGTGGGGAAGGAGCTGGGGCTTCACTGCCACGACAAGTATTGGGCCCCTCGTGGCTCCCCTGCAGCATGCCACTGTTTTGCCACTCTGCCCAAAATGTTGCCGACACACTGTATCATACCTTCATGATTTCAAATTGGTTAGGACTTCTTTGCAGTTGGTTATGATTCTTTGTAGTTGGACTCAAACCTTCCACCTTTAGTATGTCATAATTAAGAAAAATCAAGCAAAACAAAGCAGAATAAGCTACAAAAAACCTGAAAGTAAACAAGTAAATGAGTCTTTGGGAGGAGATTAAGATAAAATTGAGACACAAGTGATTCCAAAAGGGACACAGCTGGCAAGACAACATGTGCAGATAGTAGCAAGGCCAACTTGATCCAGCTCCCTGCCGAATGGCAGGAAGTCAGCTGGAGTGAGAGGACCCCAGCAAGATAATTATCCAAAGGCATCTTGAAAGTGTCCAGAGTAGGTGCTTGCACCACTTCTGGTGGGAGTCTAGTCTAGACTCTGGAGACTCAGACAGTAAAGAAATTATTCCTTATGTCCAGTCTAAAATGGTCTTCCAGCAGTTTGTGACCATTGGACCTTGTTTTTCCTAGGGGAGCCCTGGTGAACAGTTGTTCTCCCAGGTCCTGATGCACACTCCTGATATACTTGTACGCTGCCACCAAGTCCCCCCGAGCCTATGCTTCTCAGAGCCAAAGAGTCCAATGCTTCTCAGCCTCTCCTCATATGGCCGGCTCTCTTGTCCTTCTATCATGTGTGTGGCTCTCCTCTGGACTTTCTTGAGCTTTTCCATGTCCTTTTTAAAGTGTGGAGCTCAGAGTTGGATGTAGTACTCCAGCTGCAGCCTCACCAAGGCTGAATAAAGCAGAAGAATGACATTGGGTCTTGTCTGAGATGCTTTGGTAGATGCAAGCCAGAGTTTTATTTGCTTTGCCGGCTTGCAGCATTGCACTGGTGGTTCATATTTATCTTGTGGTCAATCATGACCCCCAAGTCTCTTTCAGACATAGTGCTAGTGAGTGAAGCACTGCCGAGCCTATAGGTATGATGTGGGTTTTTTCCCCAAGGTGGAGCACCTTGCATTTCTCTATGTTGAAGGTCATCGGGTTTGTATATGCCCACCTTGCGAGCCTATCCAGGTCAGCCTGGATCCCCAGACTATCCTCCATACTTCCCTATAGTTTGGTGTCATCCGCAAACTTAAACATCCAACACCTAAATCAATATTGTTAATGAATATATTAAAGAGTACCAGTCCGCGTACTGAACCCTGAGAGACGCCACTGGTCACCATATGCCATGCTGACTTGGTTCCACCAACAATCACTCTGTGGGTCCTACTATGGAGCCAGTTCCTGAAACATCGGGCCATGAGGTTGTCAAGGCTGCAGTTCCCCAGTTTTGCCATGAGGACATCATGGGGGGCCAAGTCAAAGGCCTTTTTGAAATCTGAGTAAATGACATTAACCTCTTCCACCCTGTCCAGGTGACACATCATAGAAGGAGATGAGGTTAATTAGTCACAACCAACCCGAAACAAAGCTGTATTGGCGGTCTCTCAGAAAGGTGCCTTCTGTCAGCCTGTTGTTGATGGATTCTTTGATAATTTTTTCCAAGATCTTACCAGGGATTGAGGTCAAAATGACTGGCCTATAGTTCCCTGGATCTTCCTTTCTTGAAGACAGGCACCACATTGGCCCTCTTCCAGTCTTCAGGAACCTCTCCTGAGCGCCACTAGTTCTCAAATATCTGCGCCAATGGTTGAGTTATGATGTTGGCCAACTCTTTTAGCACTCTTGGGTGCATTCCATCAGGGTCTGATGACTTGTGGATATTCAGCCTCTCAAGGTGTTCCCTCACAAGGTCTTCACAAAATGCAGGTGTACGGTCACCTGTACCTTCGTGTAGTCCTGTGTCCTGTCAGGCGGGGTGATCCCCTCGGGCTGGCGGAAAACCGACGCAAAGTAATCATTGAGGAGATTAGCTTTTTCTTTGATGTCAGGGATCCAATGTTGCCCTTATTTTTTTTCAACTTCCTATGTATCTGAAGAAGGACTTTTTATTGTCCTTGATTCCTGCAGCCAGCCTAAGCTCAGTATGGGCCTTAGCTTTTCTGGTTCACTCCCTACAGGTGTGGGCCAGTGATGCATAATCTTCCTTAGAGGTATTTCCTGTCTTCTATCCCTTATACACTTTTCTTTTAAGATTGAGGCGGTCCATGAGTTCCCTATTCAGCCACGGGGGTTTCCCAGCCCTTTTACTACCTTTACTGTGGGCCGGAATGGACTTCACTTGTGCTTTTAGGATCGCATCCTTAAGGAGCGACCACTCTTCTTGGACACCCATCCCTGTCAGGCTGTGATCCATCAGGGCCTCTACAACCAATTTCCTGAGCTTGTGAAAATCAGCTTTCCTGAAGTCAAGGATTTCTGCATTGCTGACTGATTTGCCAGTTTTGCGATGGATGAGGAAGGTGATTCATGATCACTGTTACTGAGCTTCCCCTCAATCCTCAGGTCACTGACTAGATCATCCCCTTTGGTCAGAACCAGATCTAGCAGCGCCTTGCCTTGTGTCGGCCCATGGATTTCTTGAGTTAGATAGAGCTTGTCTATGCAATGTAAGGTAAATATTAGTGCTGTCTTTAAAACTTTAAAAGTGGTGTAATTTTTTCATCATTTTTCACTCAGTGTTTGCTGGGGCAAGCCTCTACAAACTTCTGTGATGTGAATGGGCATTTGCTGCATGTAGCTCATGGTATAGATCAGCCCAGTAAAACAATTCAGAGCAGCCTCTGTACAGGTAAATGTGGGTGGCTGAAGTTGTCTCTGATTTTAATCTGTGAACTTGACCAATTTCAGACTTTGCATAAAGACAAAGTCACTTTATTGGTTCATTACTAAAAGGTACCTTCTGCCACCTATTGACATATGTAGACTAACTGGACCTGAATCTGATCCTACCAAAATCAACAAATAATTTGCCTTTTACTTCAGTGATAGTAGGATCTGATCCAGCATGTTTGGCGCAAAGGAAGATTTTTCCCTGGTGCAGTCTTGCGGTTAAGCCAGCTCCCTGGGACTCAACATTTTTGGGTTCTATTCCCAGCTCTTCACTGGGTGGCTTTGGGCAAGTCCCTTTACCTCTTCATGCTTCAGTTTCTTCATTTGTGAAATGGGGGAAATTATTCTGACCTACTTTGTAAAGTGGTTTGGGACCCACTGTTGATCAGTATTATAACCATTATAACCAGTTATGTTGAAATGTGGGTCAGTCACTTTCTGAGTTGCTGTTATGCTGATGCATGTATTTGGATTACTACACCATCTTGATACAGACAGAATCTGTGTAATGTGAAGATAAGTCTGCATAATGGAAAAATTAATATACAGGTTTCCCTCGCTTTATGTGGGTTCTGTATGTGTGAATTTGCTCTTATGCAATGACCCTTTTTCTACCAAATATTTGTTATATGTTAGGTAAATTCACTCTTAAGTGATCAGTGTGGTGGAAGCCCACAATCAACTGCTCTGTGCAGTGCATCGTGATGCACACCAAAATACAGTCTCCTGTGTAGATTTGTGCTCCTTGCTCGTTGCCTGTGACACGTGTTTCTGTAGTTGCCATCCACATTATGATAATGCCCTATGTGTGTGTGCACTGTCTGCTGTTGGTGAGTACCAACATTGCCTTGTAAAAGTGGTAGAAATAAGTCTGGGGGTCAGTACAGTCGAGGTCTTGGACTGCATCCCTATTTGTTACATTGTAAAGTGGGTTCCCTTTATGTGAATTCAGGTTATGAGCTGTTTTCCAGGAACACATGTACAGCATAAAGCGAGGGAAACCTGTGCAAGTACTAAGCATAACAAAGCAATTCTATATTGACTTGCTAAAAAGGGTAATAGAGAATTTTCTCACCTGAAGCTCTGCATGATGAACCTGTGCTGCCGCCGTTGCTACCTGATCTTCCAGCTCAGCTAGTTCAGATTCTGCTGTAATACTGTTAATTTTGCGTGCTGCATCCTCTAACTCCGTCAGCTGACCCTCTAACCCATACACGGTGCCTGCTGTCAAGTATACCTAAATGGTCCAAATCACAGCACAGAGCAAGGCCAATTGCTTTTCAGTTATAGCTTAACTTGAAGACTAAAGACTACTGGCAGCTAAGGAAAAAGCCAAACAAATAACAAGAACATACAATCTCTGGCTATGAAATACAGAGGAAAGGAAGATTAATATTTTGTCATATTTTGACATATTTGGAAAATGTTGACTTCGTGGCAAAATATAGAAAGTAGGGCTGACAAACAATTTTAAAAAATCACAATTAATTGTGAGATTTAAAAATAGTTGCAATTAATCACACTTTTACTCATACAGTTAAACAACAGCCAGCATCCTTCCACCCAACAGCTCTTTCAGAGCTACTGAGATGTACCAGCAGCCCCCTCTCTTCTATAGCATGGAGACTCCAGCCGAGTGCCTCCTTTTAATGCAGCTATGGCAGTATCAGAAAGGGAGAGGAGGAGAATCCTGAGTAAGCAACTCCCAAACTGAACACCTTATGTTCCTATTGGGAGCCAAGTGGCAGGCAGAACTGGTGTTACATGTTCCCAATGAAACACACCACCAGTTAAGCGGTTCACAATATCCTGTACTAGGTTTAGTTTCTGAATGAATTGTAGGGGTACCCTCAGCAGTTTGGGGTGGGTGGGATAATGTATCTTATAGCGGAGATAAATGTAACCCTCCAAACCTGCCAAAAACAGCATTTTAAAAGAATCCCCCCTCTGAGCAGTCTCAGGAATTTTCTTACAGCAGCCAGATAAACCACTTCTGGAACGGTCATTTCCTAGCCATCTGTTCATAAGAGGTCACACACAATACGTCATGCCTTTCTACTTTCTTTCATCGAAATGCATACTTATCCAGCTTTTCTTTGTTGTAGGAAGAGGTTTATACACCTCTCTTTCTCACTGCTTTGCCTGAAACTCTACCAGTTCACAGTTGTTAGGAGCTGGAAGGGACCTTACAGATCATCAGGTCCAGCCCCCCTGCTCTTGGGCAGAGAAGACCTGCTGGGATCAGATGACCCCTGCAAGATGGATGCCAAGATGCTTTTTGAAGACTGCCAGGGTGCGTGACCGCACCACCTCTGGGGGGAAGCCTGTTCCAAACCCTCGGCACTAGACTTGTAAAGAAGTTTTTTCCCTATGTCCAGTCTGAAGCGATCTTCAATCAGTTTGTGTTCATTGTTTCTTGTCCTCCCCTGGGGGGCCTTGGTGACCAGATGCTCCCCCAGGCCCTAATATCTCACATGAAAGCTCCCACTCTCCAGGATTTGCACTCTCAGATTTTAGTCTTCCAATGACCTCAGTTAATGCTGCTCTAACTGGTCTGAAGGGAAGCAATAATTCACCTTCCCTCCAAAACTTACTAAAGAGTATGTTTCTAAATGAAGCTGTCACTGCCAATCTGCACTGAAGTGGGAGATCATTTCCCCCACCATCCCTTCTAACAGCCTTGCTTTTGGTGGCTATCACCTCTCCCAGCAAATCCAGAAAGTAGCAGGTTCTTTTGCAAGTGCCAGTAAAAGTTTCCTGTTGGAATGGATGCCTGCAGCAGGATGCATGTTCGAATGGCAGGATGTCTGATTAAACTGCAGTGTTGTGTGGGAACAAAGTGTTGTGTAATCTCTCTTTAGGTGTGAAAGGTGACCCTTCCAAATGAAACACGCTCGTACCCATAGCTCTGTAAAGCCATGTGTCCAAGCTTCTTT